TGTTGATAACGCTGCTATAAACTTTGGGGTGCATGTACCCCTTCGAATCTGTATTTTTGTACCCTTCGGGTAAATACCTAGTAGTGCAATTGCTGTATTGTATGGTAATTCTATTTTTAACTTTCTAAGGAACCGCTACACTATTTTCCAGAGTGGCAACATCAGTTTGCATTCCCAACATTGGTTGATTTTTATTTTTTATTTTTTTAATTAATTAATTAATTAATTATTTTTATTTTATTTGACAGAAAGAGACACAGCGAGAGAGGGAACACAAGCAGAGGGAGTGGGAGAGGGAGAAGCAGGCCTCCTGCAGAGCAGGGAGCCCGATGTGGGGCCTGATCCCAGGACCCTGAGCTTATGACCTGAGCAGAAGGCAGACGCTTAATAACTGAGCCACCCAGGCACCCCAGTTGATTTTTAAATGCTGAAACAACTTTGCATTCCTGGGAGAAGCCACCCTTGGTCATGAAGCCTTATCCTTTTTATATAGTGTTGGATTCAATTTGATAATATTTAAAACGGATTTTTGTGTCTATGTTCATGAGCGATATTGGTCTGCAGATTTCTCTTCTTGTTAATATCTTTGGTTTTTGATTCAGGGTAATGCTGGTCTCATAGAGTAGAGTGGGGAGTGGTTATACCTCTATTTTTTGAGAGAGCTTTCATAAAGGTGGTATTATTTATTCTTTAAATGTTTGATAGAATTTACCAATGAAGCCATCTGGTCTTGGAGGTTTTGTTTTGGGGGAGGTTTTAAATTATGAATTTAATTTTTAAGAGATATCTTGAATTATTTTGATTTTCTTTTTTTTTCCTTGAGTTTGTTTTCCTAATTTGTGTCTTTCAAGGACTTTGTCCATGGGTTGTTGAATTTATCAACATAAAGTTGTTCATAATATTCCTTCATTATGTTTCTGTCTGTAGTACATGTAGTAATGTTCCTTCTATCATTCTGGATATTGACATATTGGCTTTTTGTTTGAGCTTTAGCAACCCTGCCTGTGCAATTGGGAGAGTGTTCTCAGGAGAAAAGCTAATGTGACATGAATCTCGCCCAGTGTGGTCCTTTATTGCAAGGTTAATTTCTCTCCATTTTCTACCTGCTTTTGCTTACACTCTAAAGTCTTCACACAAATATCTTCCCTTAGAGCTTTCTTCCCAATAACTTATAATTATTAATATGGGAGGGCCAGTCTGAGACAAGACAATAATGATTGCCAATAATGGCAAATCAGAATTCCACCATCTTGCTATTTACTTTCTATTTGTTCTTCATGTTTTTTCTTCCTTTCCCCCCTCTCTTCTTGTCTTCTTTGGATTAATTATTTTTTATTATTTAATATTTGTCCTTCAATTAGCTTGTTAGTTATAGATTTTATTTTTTTAAGTATCTCTATGCCCAATGTGGGGCTCAAACTCACAACCTTGAGATCAAGAGTCTCATGCTCTGCCAACTGAGCCAGCCAGGTACCCCATTTGTTAGTTATAGATTTTAAACTATTCTCTTAGTGTTTACCTTAAACATTACAATATACATCCCTTAAAGTCCAATATGTATTAACATTTTTTATTTAAATGTAAATGTTTACATGTAAGTGTAAACACTTGAACTCTATGTCCTTCCCGCTTGACATTTTTTAGATTATTTATTTATTTATTTGAGAGAGAGAGAATGAGCAGGGGTGAGGGGCAGAAGGAGAGGGAGAGAGAGAATCCCAAGCAGACTCCACGCTGAGCATGGAGCCCTATGCTGGGCTTGATCTCATGACCCTGAGGTCATGACCTGAGTGGAAACCAATAGTTGAACGCTTAACTGCCTGAACCATCCAGGTGCTCCTTCTTCTTGACTTTTGAGTTATAATTGTAATGTATTTTATTATTTATTTATTTATTTATTTATTTATTTATTTATTTATTTATTATAGTATGTTCAATTAACTACCATATAGTATTTTAATTCTACATGTATTTTAAACCTCAGAAGATACCTTTCTTATTGATTTAAACAGGTGAAATTCATTTGAATGTATTCCTATTTTTACCCTTCCCAACTCATTTTATTTCTTCTTGGCATTTTGTACTTCCATCAGGGATCATTTTCCTCTCCCTTTTATTGCGGGACTTCTGGAAGCATATGGTCATGCTCTTCTCTTCCCTGATTACTCACTCTGCTTTCAATATCCTGGCTGTTCTGTGACTAACCCCTCACTGGTATCTTTAACTGGGAGTATCTCTCAATTGTTTATTTTGGTTTTTCTTATAGGTTCTATTTTATGTCTTCCTTTCCCCCCCTACAAAGATCTCTACTCTTTTTGTTTTCCTCTTCCCACCAGAAAGTCACTACCACTTTCCTTCGTGGCCAGTCTTCTCAGCCCATCAACCAAGAACTCTCTGCAAGTTATTTTTGCATAGCACCCCAATACCTACATCAGTGAAATACTTGCAACAATAAGTTGATGTTGAGAATACAGCAAAGAGAATTATTAATCCCATTTGGACCCAAGGAGAAGGAAGAGTGCTTAGGGAAAGCTATCAGAGAGAACTCAGGTCTCAAAGGATGGCAACTAGGCATTAACTAAGTGGAGAATGGAAGTAAAGATATTATAATCACGGAAACATGGAAGTGTGAAAAAGCATTAAGTGTTTGGGGGTGCAGCATGGTTCAGAGTTTAGTATAGGGCCTGCATGGTGAATACACAGCTTACATGCTACAATCTTCCTCTTCCATATCCATGGCAGACATTGCCAATCTATCACAGAGCATTGTTTCTCACTGGGATTGAGCAGAGGCTTTGAATCATTCTCAAATTAGCAGTTCAGGCAGCTACTCTTATTAAATAGTGGTGGCATAAGAGATGAAACCTCCCTGTTATTCTGGGAATGGGGTGATGATAGGTCATGAAGAGAAAAGAGGCTGGGGACTTAGGCCGGACCCAGGCTGGGACCATGTTTTGATGATGGCATCAGTGACTGTAACCCCCTGGGGAGGCCATGAGGCTTTGGTAATGAAATATCAGAAAAATTTCAGTGCTCTTGGAGCTGCCTCTGTGGGACCTGGTCCATTCTATAAACTTGTTAACTAAAGCCCCAGAGAAACTCCCTTTGAGAATCTGCTGGGTACCTGGCTTTGGCACTAATTAGCCACTTGGAGAAGTTCTTTGTGGTTTAATTAAGTGACATCTGTGGTTAAAAGTTTGGCTTCTAAGTGACCTGTGATTAGGAATTAAGCTTGGTCTTTCAGTGGATCAGTCTTTTTACTGGAAACAGAGCCTTTGTCTATTACTGACTCAAAGTGGTAGGAACAGAGGCTCTTTCTCAGCCTAATCTGCCCCCCTTCCAGTCAGACAAGCAGGGCGTAACTGGGTCTGGTCTGGAATTACACTTGGAATTGAGACATCAGGTTGGAGGGTGGGCCTTGCATGGCCACAGTCATCCCTTGTAATTTCCTTTGCATTGAAGGAGGTGCATGATTGCCAGATGGGATTGGTGAAAGCCCTGAGGCAGAAATGTGCCTGATGTGTTTGAGGAATAATAAAAGGGCAAGTGGACTGGACTGAATGAGCACAGAGAGGCAGGAAATGAGGCCAGAGAGGTCAGAGGGCCAGTTCACATAGGACCTTGTAGATCATTGCAAAGGTTTTGGTTTTAATGATGAGCCAGTTTTATAAATATTTTGTTGTCAATGCATTTTGATCTTATTTAAGAAACATCCCCCTAGGCCAAGGTCTAAAATATAACTACCTTTATTTTCTACAAAGTGTTGTGTTTTTTTTTAAAGATTTTATTTATTTATTTGAGAGAGAGAATGAGAGATAGAGAGCACGAGAGGGAAGAGGGTCAGAGGGAGAAGCAGACTCCCTGCTGAGCAGGGAGCCCGATGCAGGACTCGATCCTGGGACTCCAGGATCATGACCTGAGCCGAAGGCAGTCGCTTAACCAACTGAGCCACCCAGGCGCCCAGGTGTTGTGTTTTTTAAAGTCAGGTTTTATGATACATAAAATATAATTTATGCATAATAAAATGTATCCATATTAGTATTCTGTTGGATGAGTTTTGACAAATGTATGCTAGTTATGTGATCTTTTTTTTTTTTTAGTTATGTGATAATTACAACCAAGACACAGAACATTTCCATCACCCTGTAAGTTTCTCTCCTGCCCTTCTGTAGTGATTACTCTTCTCCCACTCCTGGTTCTAGGCAAACACTGATCTCAATTTACGTTTCCTTTTCCTGAATGTCAGATAAACAAAATTACACAACATGTAGCCTTTTTTTTTTAAAGATTTTATTTATTTATTCATGAGAGAGAGAGAGAGAGAGAGAGAGGCAGAGGGAGAAGCAGGCTCCCAAGGAGCAGGGAGCCTGATGCAGGACTCAATTCCAGGACCCTGGGATCATGACCTGAGCTGAAGGCAGACGCTTAACCATCTGAGCCACCCAGGCACCCAACATGTAGCCTTTTTGTTTGTTTAGCTTTTTTCACTTCGCATACTGCTTTGAGATTCATCCAAGTTGTTGCCCGTATCAGTAGGTCATTCCTTTGTACTGCTGAGTAATATTCCATGAACAGAGGTACCACTTTTTATCTATTCATCACTTACTAGAATGTCTCCAATTTTTGGCTACTGTGAGTAAGGCTGCTACGGTTCCTTGTGTAAACATGTTTCATTTCTCTTGGGTAAATACCCAAGAGAAATGGGATTACCAGGCTGTATGGTAGGTGTATGTTAAATGTTTTAAGAAACTGTGAAACCATTTTAAGTAGCTGCCAAAATAGAAAGTGGCTGTTCCATTTTGCAATGGGTAACATTTCCAGATGATCCCCTTACCAGAACTTGGTATTGATAGTGTTTTCAATTTTAGCCACTTTAATGGATATGTATTGATATCTCCTTGTGGTTTTAATTTGCATTTCCTGAATGACTAATAGTGCTGAACATCTTTTCATGTGCTTATTTGCCATCTGTATGATTTATTTGTTTGTTTGTTTAAAAGGAATTGGCTAAGGCTGGAGACTGGAGGGAAGAGTTGTAGTTCAAGTCCGAAGGCAGTCTGCAGACAGACTTCTTGCTCTGGGGAGGTCAGTCTTTGTTTTATTAGTATCTTCAACTGATTGGATGAGACCCACCCACACTCTGGAGAATAATCTGCTTTACCCGAAGTCCACTGATCTAAATGTTAATCTCATCCAAAAAATGCCTTCACAGAAACATCCAGAACAATGTTAGATCAAATATCTGGGTACCGGGGCTCAGTCAAGTTAACACAAAAAACTGATCATAGTTCCCTTCCTCTCAAATGTCTCCATCTTCACCTTCAACCTCTATTAATGGACAATACTGTTACCAATATCAAAAACAAAAAATAAATAGAATTTTACATTTTGTCTGTAATTTTGTCTATAATTTACATGTAATTTATATTGTATATGTAAATATATATATTTGTATTTATAAAAGAAATAATGTTTATGGTCAGAATTGGGACCTTTTATGAAGAAGCAAATTTTAAAAATCTATATTTCCACTACCCAGAGATAACCATTGTTTCTACATTTTGGTGGATTTCCTTCTCTGATTTAAACTTATTTATTATTTATATCAAGTCTTCTTTCTGAAGAGCGTAAGGCAGGTTTGAAGAATATATAAAATACAAGACAGGATAAACTGAAAATGATGTGAAATGCAATCAAAGAAGGAATAAACAAGGGTGGGGACATAAAATTGGGCCAAGGATGACTCTGAAAACACAGACTACAATGACTCTTGTCAGGGGAAGGCCTCACTTTTGGCTCCAAGCTTCTGGTCAGTCACCGAGTTCACAGTGACCAAAGATAAAAATAAGTCAGTTGCTTACGTGAAATACTAACATCTGTATTCTAAGAACAGACACATTGCATGGGCTTTCTTTCAACCAGCCCCAGAATCAGCTTTTGGCAAGTTACACTGGTGCATAAAAATTCACATAGGTAATAATTTGGAGGCAAAAAAATACTGTCTAGATATTCAGGTCTCCAGTGATCCGGGCTGGCAAGAGTCTAATTTTAGATTTGGAGGGAAGTCTGGACGGGCTGCATATCCTTTGAGCAATCTTCCCTGAATGATTTTTCCTTTAAAATTTAAAAATGACGCTAAGTGTCAGTGAGCTCTCAATATCAGTATCCCCTGGCTGGTGCCTGAGCTATGGCTGGTGTTTAATAATAACTTGAGTATTGGTGAGTCCTATTCAGAGTTGGCAATCAAGTAACACATAGTGTTACATAGTACCGAGACCTGGGCTTGGGATCAGATAGATGTTCCAAAACCCAACTCCCTAACTATAGTAACCATGTGGCCATAAACAAGTTATAAAACAGTGGACCAAGTGTCAGAGAATAATATTAGTATCTACCTTTTTGGGTTCTTGTGGAAACTAAATAAGATAATACATGTAAAGTATTTAACACAGTAACTAGTACAGAGTAAGTGTTCAATAGATGATAGTTATTATTATTATCATCCCTTTTATTAGCTGAGGGACATAACAAGGACTTGTGCTTACAAAAGAATGCTATCAGACATCTGCTTCCAGGTGAGCTGAGGTGGCACCCACCAGATATACGCTAGGACCCAAGTAAATCTCAACCTTGGACTACTTTCATTTTTTTAAAAAACATTTATTTATCCATAAGAGACAGAGACAGAGAGAGAGGCAGAAGGAGAAGCAGGCTCCCCGCTGAGCAGGGGACCCGATGTGGGACTCGATCCCAGGACCCTGGGATCATGACCTGAGCCAAAGGCAGACGCTGAACCATCTGAGCCACCCAGGTGCCCAGGACTACTTAAATTTTAAACTACCTCCCAGGTTCCAGTGTATTCCACACCAGTGCTTCTCAGATAGTAGCCTGTAGACCAGTGTTAGTCCATGATGAAGCTTTCATGGTTCTCCAGCGTGTGTGGGGTTCTCTCTCAGCTTTTCAGTCTCTTTTCAGTCTTGACAGAAATATTGTACATGAATACATTGTAGAGATAATTACCTGTCTTAGTCGATCTGGGCTCCTATAACAAAAGTACCATAACCTGGATGGCTTAAACAACAAACATTTATTTCTCATAGTTCTGGAGGCTGGGAAGTCTAAGATCAAAGGCTGGTTTCCTGGTTCACAGATGGCTGTCTCTTTGTTGTATCCCCACATGGTAGAAGGGGCAAGGGAACTCTCTGGGCTCTTTCATAAGGGCACTAATCTCATTCAAGAGGGTTTCACCCTCGGGTGCCTGGGTGGCTCAGTTGGTTAAGCGACTACCTTTGGCTCAGGTAATGATCCTGGAGTCCCAGAATCGAGTCCCGCATCAGGCTCTCTGCTCAGTGGGGAGTCTGCTTCTCCCTTTCACCCTCTCCCCTCTCATGCTCCCTCTGTCTCTCATTCTCTCTCAAATAAATAAATAAAATCTAAAAAAAAAAGAGGGTTTCACCCTCATGACCTAATCACCTCCCAAGGCTCCACCTCCAAATACCATCACATTGGGGTACCCCAATGAAATCTTATCGGATTTGAACATATGAATTTTGGGAGGACATAAGCATTCAGTCACTACATTATCTGAGACATGAACTTGGTGCATGAATTCACAAAGGCCAGATCTCAGCTAATCCCTAGGTGGCTCACCTCCAGCTTTATAAAGCAGGGCCAGCTTGCTTTCAGTAAGTTTCAGGCTACTTGCTATATAGGGACTTGAAACAGTGCCTCACATTGTACAGTGGGTATGGATTTAAGTGGAAGAAATGATCCCATTCACAATCATAGTAAGATAAGATCCTGAATATTTCCTATAGATAGATATACCACAATTTTTATAGCCATTTGTCTGCTGATGGACAGTTGAGCTGTTTCCAGCTTTTGACAATTTAAAACAAAAACTTCTTACACATGAATGTTTACAGCAGCTTTATTCATAATTGCCCCAAATGGAAACTACCAGTAGTTGAGTGGATAAACAAACTGTGGTACATCCATACAAGGGACTATTATTGAGTGACAAAAAGAAATGAATTATTAAGTCATGAAAAGAAATAGAGGAACCTTAGATACATACTGCTAAGGGAAAGAAGCCAGTCTGAAAAGGCTACATACTCTATGATTATAACTATATGACTTTCTGGAAAAAGCAAAACTATAGAGACAGTTACAAAGATCAGTGGGTGCAGGTTTTGTTTGTTTGGTGAAGGGAGGAGATGAATAGGGGAAATACAGAGCATTTTTAGGGCAGTGAAACTATTCTGTACCCTGAGCTCCAACTGGTGTTTCCCTGGTATGTACACACTCAGTTTTAGTATGGAGGAAACATGCCAAATTGTTCTCCAAAGTAAGCTAAATTATTCCCCTATGGGCATTGTCAAAGTCATTCATTGTTCCCTACACTGACCCACACTCAGGACACTCAGGATTGCCAGACATAGTTTTTTTTCCTTGCCAATCTGTTGTGTGTGAAATATCATCTCACTGTGGTTTTGATATGTGTTTTCCTAATTACTCCTGAAGGTGAGCATAAACCGTCTTTTTGTAAACGATCTTTCTAAAATGATTTATACATTTTTCTTCCTTGTAAAAGAGCATATGTTAAACATAATTTGACTTTAATGATGGGTCATGGCCTTTATAAAGGCCCATCTTTCTTTGGGGTATAACAGAGTGTGGTCTTTGGGCATTTTGTGCTACAAACGACTAGGCCCAGTGGGAGGTGGGTAGAGGTAAAGAGCAAATCCAAGGAATCACAATGTAGTCAGTAGGTTTGGGAAGGGAAGTGGGAGAAGGAGCTGGAGATGTCACCAGGGTGCTGATAGGTGTCCCCAAGTTTACTGATGATATATTGTAACAGCAATCAGGGGCCTGTTGGGGCAATTAGTGTGGAATTAAAGCTGCTCGACTCTGGCACATTCTATTTACTGTCTCTTACAGAGTCTCTCCCCTGGTGCATGTAGCTGGACACATCCTGGCATGGAGTGGTCATTCCTAAATGAGGGGTCATTCCTATATGCTGTTGCACAACATAGTACAGAGTCTGTTGCCTCAGATCACCTGAGAAGTCTGTTAAAATCCCTGGGCCTCTTTCTGGAGATTCTAGACTGGGTCAGCAAGTCGGGGATGGGACCCCAAAGCCTGCATTTCTCTGTTTTCTAGATCTTTCTGAGAGTTTCCCCAGGAACTGCCTCATCAGATAGGGACGTGCTCTTGTGCTCAGGCTTCCAAGTCATGAGGCTGCCCCTTGTGGGTTTGCTGCGTGGATGCATCTGACCAGACTTTTGCTGCTACCTCCCGTCTGGCCAGAAGGAAGGAAACTCGGCTGTATCCTGCTCCATCTCCATGGGTGTGGAAGCTTTCCTAGGTGGCCAGAGAACAGTAAAGAAAAGGCTACACCTGTGTGTGACATTTTACTGATGGTTCAAGAAAGCTGAAAGAGAATGACACCACAGAGACCACCTTACAAGTATGGCACAGGCCCCAAATTCTCCTAGGAACTCTCACCAGGACAGGGGCTTCCTGTCTCAACTGGGACAAAAACATTTCACGCCCCACATCCCTGAGACAGAGGCCTTGTCATGCTTCGGGGTCAGAGCTGAAATGGCTGTGAAGACCCCAAAAAGGAGAAGGTGTTCCCCTCACCTGTGTCTTGTCCCACAGCCCCTGTGTGCTCAGCCATCTATAACCAGTTTTTACAATCAGAAGAAAGGATGAGTGCCTAATATAGATAACAGGCCAAAGAGAGCCTGCAATGGACAGATAATGAACAACTAAGAGTTTCAAAAGGCATCATTAGAATTTTAAAAAATGTATCTGAACACATGACTAGAAATTTAATAAATGATCAGAACCTCAGGCCAAAATGCATATTCTAGAATTGAAATAGGGTTCTAGTAAACAACCAAGAAAGTTCGTTGCCTGAGTAGCTGGGCTTTGAGAAGCCCCTTGAGGGAGTGTAATGTAAGCCCTGATGGTTTTTTTTTTTTTTTTTTCTGTTTTTGGTGCAAGTGCCTGACTTAAGGTTGGATCGCCTTGGCACCCATTTCAAAGAAGCATCCACTTCAGATAAACATACTGACAGCCACAGGACCAGGTAAAGAGACAGGGCACCTCACCAATGGAGGCTCCTCCGTTTTAGACGTCTTGGTTGACTTCGATAAACGGGTCATTTGGGCCACTTGTCTTTTCTCTTCCCTTGCTTTAAATTCCTGCTCTTATGTTTTAAATTCACCAACCAAGAGTGAGCCCACTGAAACCCTAGGCCCCCTCCCTCTGCCCTAATGAAACAGAACCCCAGCCCTGTGTTTCTCTTTGTCTTTCACTCTGCCTGCTGCCTTGCTGTGGGCCCCAGGTGTGCTATGTGATTTCCAGGTCTCGTAAGTAATAAGCCTTTATTTTTTTAGTGTTTCCTGATGATTGTTGCTGAAAGGTGTCTTGCAGTCATAATAAGGATCACAAGGGTTGGTCCAGTCATAACATTGGTTTGGAGACGGGGGGATGTCTATGGGAAGCTCACTGGGGCCCAGGTGAGTGTCACAGATATTTCCAGTTGACAGCATTGCTATTGGTGGGCTGAGACCAGCACCAAACAGACAGGCTTGGGAAACTACGTTTCTGTCTCAAGGAACAATCTGCAAGAGGCTCTCCGAAACTGGATGTGATTGTGGGGTTCTCTAGGAGCGCTGAGAGATAGGATGAGAGGGAGCAGGCAGAGGCCACCTTTATACTGACAAAGGTCGGGAGGGAAGAGAGGGAAAATGAGTCTGTGTCATCCACAGGCTCAGCGAAGCAGAGAATTTCTTCCCCCTGCAGGTGAGGACTGAGCCAAGCAGGTGACCAAGATGGTCTCACCATTGCCCTCAGCTTGACTCAATGGGAGCCTTCTTCCTGACTCTGGGGCCCTGACCTGCCTTTTCATAGAAAATTTGTAGCTGTAAATTCTTTCTCTGACTCTTTGAGGTAATAAATCTTTTTAAAAGCCTCTTGCCAGTTTTGCAACCCAGGATTATCTTTCTCAAGGACCTGGAGCCATCCCTCTGAAATGTAATCATGAAAGAAGATAGCACCCCATCTCCCAATGTCTTGGTGCCTCACGCCAAGTTGCAAAATTGCCTTCTGTCACCAAGAAAAGGGAAGTTTATTTTCCCTTTGGATAAAGCCAATTAGCAAACACAGATGGAGTATGACTCCCCTAACATCCTCTAGTACTTTTCCTCTAGCTCAGCCCAGAGCTTACAAACCCACCATCCTTCCTTTCAGACTGAGTTCTGCTCTCTCCCCCTACTGTGAGAGCCTTGGATCAAGTCTTCCTTGCCCATTTGACTTTGCCTGGTGCCATTTTTACTTTGACACATGCCAAACATAAGCTTCTCACATTTACCAGTCAGATAAGACACTCAACTTCCCTGGGGTAGAAACAGAAATAGGGTGAAAAAAAAGTGAGGTAGTACATTAACTAAACTCTCTTCACGTGGAAGAAAAAATTGAGATTAGGAAAGAAGCGTTGACTCAGGCAATGATGCTTAACCTTTCTACTCTTAGATGGTCACTTATAATATCAAATTTTCTAACCCATTCAAATTTTCATTTGTTGCCACTGGAATAATATCTTCCCAAGATAATTGAGAGTGTGACATTTCTTTTAAGCCCTATGGCCTAATAAAATTATAGCAAAATATCTAGAGCTAGGACATTTTCTAGAGTCAGTCTTACTTGGACGTACACCTTATTATAAAATACTACTGTTGTCGGTTTTGAAAATGAGGAATCTGAAACTCTTTAATATTAAATAATTTCTCTGAATTGGAAGTGACCTTGAATATCATCTAGCTCAACTCCAGGCTGATATATGAGCTGTCTTTGCAAGACCCTTCTCCAGTGAGGGTGGATGTCACTTTTCAATAACTCTGACTTTTGAATTTCTTCCCTATACCGTGTCGGGAATTACTTTCCCAATTCTTACAAATATTGGGTCTAGTTCTATCTTCAAAAGCCACTGAGAATAAACCTCATTACAGAGAAATGGTCTTCTCACCTTAGAAAATAGACCGATGGTTAGTGATGATATCAGAAATACAGACACTTCCAGGGTGAAGACACCAAAAAGATGCTCAGGAAGAGGGGATGGACCAAAAGCCGTCAGAAGACAAAGGGAAGAATGCCAGGGAAGACACACAGAATTAGACCAGGTCACCTGGAGTGCTGGACCTAAGTTGCTGAGTCAGCCAGCTCCTTGGGACCAACTCTTGATTCTACACTGTGTTCAGGACCTAGGATATTGTGCCGAGAGAGATTCCCAAAATGGAGGAGACATCATCTATTCTCTGTCTGGTGTGCAAAAACAGTCTCTGCTGTTGGGGAGGTCCTAATCTTATGGGGAAGACAACATGTGCATGTACCTGCACACACACACACACACACACACACACACACAAACTACTTTAAGTAATTTCAGAGACATTGAAATTGCTGCAAATTGAATAACTAATTGAAGATGTTTCTTTTTTAAAAGTTTTTATTTAAATTCCAGTTAACATCAAGTGTAACATTAGTTTCAGGTGTACAACGTAGTGATTCAACACTTCCATATGACACCAAGTGCTCATCACAAGTGCCCTCCTTAATCCCTACCACCTATTTCCCCCATCCCCCCCAGCCACCTCCCCTCTGGTAACCGTCAGTTTGTTCTCCATAGTTAAGAGTCTGTTTCTTGGTTTGCCTCTCTCTCTCTCCTTTCTCTTTGCTTGTTCATTTTGTTTCTTCAATTCCACATATGAGTGAAATCATATGGTATTTGTCTTTCTCTGACTTATTTTGCTTAGCATAATACTCTCTAGCTCCATCCACATCATTGCAAATGGCAAGATTTCATTCTTTTTGATGGCTGAGTAACATTCCATTTCATATATGTACCATATCTAATTGAAGATGTTTCTTTTTTTTTATTTTTTTTATTTTTTTTTAAATTTTTTTTTAAAGATTTTATTTATTTATTAGAGAGAGAGAATGAGAGACAGAGAGCACAAGAGGGAAGAGGGTCAGAGGGAGAAGCAGACTCCCCGCCAAGCAGGGAGCCCGATGTGGGACTCGATCCCGGGACTCCAGGATCATGACCTGAGCCGAAGGCAGTCGCTTAACCAACTGAGCCACCCAGGCACCCGAAGATGTTTCTTAAATTACATAAGGATACTGGGAACTCAGAGTTATTGAACAGGGAGAAATTTGGTCAAGAAAAATTAATAAGAAGTTTTCAGCTACATTTGAAAGGAGTGAATAGGAAAAGGGAATGGGAGTGGGAATGAGAAATGGGTGTAAAGAAATGGGCCCTGATGAGGTGGCTTTGATTGGTGGATACACACACACACACATTTATATGTATGTATATATATATTATTACACTACAAGATAAATATAAGATATTATGAATATATAAAAATAGGTACAATATTCTAGTCTGGTCACTTATACAATTTCCCATGAACGCTTGGCTTAGGTATGCTGACCTCTAGTAGCCTGATATGTTTACCAGGAATCAGCAGAAATGAGGGCTCAAAGGAGAAGACTCACTCCTGAGTGTGCTCACGAAGGTGCTGCCTGGGACCTCCTCCAGCCCATCAGCTTCCTCACGCCCTGCTTCATGTCTTTGTTCCTCAGGCTGTAGGTAAAAGGGTTCAGCACGGAGGACAGAATCATGTAGATGACTGTTGCCACCCTGTCCTTGATGGTGTAGCTGGACAGGGGTCGGAAATAAACGTAAATAATACTTCCATAAAAGAGGGTCACCACGGTGAGGTGGGAGCCACAGGTAGAGAAAGCTTTATGTTTCCCAGCAGCTGAGGGGATCTTAAGAACAGCAATGAGGATCCGGAAGTAAGAGATGATAATGCACATAAAGGGGGTCACCAGGGTTATCAATCCTTCTGTGTTAATTACAACTTCATTGACGAATGTGGAGGAACAGGATAATTTCAGCAGATGGTTGATGTCACAGAGGAAGTGGGGGATAACACTGGAGTCACAGAAGGTGAGACGATTTATCAGGAGAACTAGTTAAGAGGGAATGGAGGTCAGAGATGGAGCAGGAGAAGACCAGCAGCAAGACACAGCGGCAGTGGCTCATGATGGTGACATAGTGGAAGGGGTCACGATGGCCACAAAATGGTCAATGGCCATGGCCGCCAGGAGGTAGCTTTCTGTGTTGGCAAAAGCCAAGAAGAAATACATCTGGGTCATACACTCAGCATAGGAAATGGACTTCTTCTCTGACAGGAAGTTCACCAGCATCTTGGGAACGATGGTTGTTGTGTAGCGAACATCAATGAAAGATAAGATGCTGAGGAAAAAATACATAGGTGTCTGGAGCTGAGTGTCAGAGCTGATGGCCAGGATGATGAGCAGGTTTCCCACCAGTGTGACCATGTACATGATGAAGAACAGGGCAAAGAGTGGCTTCTGGTCCTCTGGCCAGGAGGACAGTCCCAGGAGGATGAACTCGGAGACACTGCTGGTTTGGTTGACCCTCTCCATAATCCTGCATGTGCCAATGAATATGGAAAATCCTAGAATTTTCAATTCAACAAGTTTCAATTTATTCCTATCTCTCCTAGGATTCCTATAAATCGTCCATGATTCTGTCTTCCCTTCCGCAGTCCACAAGAAGTTGAACAATACAAAAGTTTAACCTGTGTTAAATGCAGGGATATCAGAGAGAGGATTTCCTTTCAGAAAGAATCCCAGGTGGACCTCAGTGATGCATATTTCTCTAGGTCCCCATAAATATTTATTCAGGTATGTCAGGTTGAGGCTCATCTCTCTACTATCCTTGCAAACAAAGCAAAAAAACAAAAACACCGAACACCTAAGTGAATCAGGTAAGTAAGATGAGTGCCAACTAGGCACACAGCGTTTATAGTCACCCTTTCAGAGCCAACATTTCATGAAAAGCTGGCAAAAAACCTCTATTATATATGAACGTATTTATTCAAACGCTCTTAGACATCGGGGATTTGTGCCTTCCCAATTATTCAACACTGTTGAATTAAATGCTCATTGGGAACCCAACACTGAGATTAGGAAGATGAGTCATTCTTGATTCTTGTTCTTGAGGTGGTTAGAGTCTAGTGGGGAAGAAATTTTTAAACAAATAAACACAATGAAATGCTACAGGTGTAGTGGGAGATGCCCTGGAAAGCAAAGAGCTTAGTGTGATGTCTTTGCTAAGAGCACACATTTTGAAATCAACTCCTTCATTTTCTGGCTGTGTGGTCTTGGACTGATTACCTAGTATCTTTGAATCATGGTGTTCTCCTCTATAACATGGGAACAGTAAATACCTTCTCACTCCACCTCTACTTCTTCTTTACCACTTGCTTTATTTCTTCCTCAACTTCCTGCCCAAATCCTCTTCTCTGTCAGGTGTTCTGGGATGCTCTTGAAAGCAATTATTCTGTTTTTCTTTGCAAAATCTCATAGCCTTTAGATTTTTCATTGTTTGACCGCCCTGCACCTGAATTTGTGAGACTTTGAGAAAGAAGTATTTTTGTGCGCTTTCAGGATTTGGAAATGAGTATGAAATTAAGGTAGATAATAACAGCTATACCTAAGACATATCGAGTCCTTACTATGTATCAGGCACTGAGCTAAATACTTAATGTATATTACTCCAAACAACTCTGATCTGGCTCTGAACAGCATTCCCTTTTGAGAGATAAGAAAACTGAGATACCACCTTACGTCAGTTAAAATGGCTAAAATTAACAAGATAGGAAACAACAAATGTTGGTGAGGAAGTGGTGAAAGGGGAACCCTCTTACACTGCTGATGGGAATGCAAGCTGGTGCAGCCACTCTGGAAAACAGTATGGAGGTTCCTCAAGAAGTTAAAAATAGAGCTACCCTAGGACCCAGCAACTGCACTATCAGGTATTTACTCCAAAGATACAGATGTAGTAAAAAGAAGGGGCACATGCACCCCAATGTTCATAGCAGCAATGTCCACAATAGCCAAACTGTGGAAGGAGCGGAGATGTCCTTCAACAGATGAATGGATAAAGAAGATGTGGTTCATATATACAGTGGAATATTACTCAGCCATCAGAAAGGATGAAAACCTACCATTTATATGGAGGTGGATGGAACTGGAGGGTATTATGCTAAGTCAAATAAGTTAATCAGAGAAAGACAATTATCATATGGCTCCATTCATAGGTGGAATATAAGAAATAATGCAGAGGATCACAGGGGAAGGGAGGGAAAACTGAATGGGAAGAAATCAGAGAGGGAGACAAACCATGAGAGGCATTTGACTCTGGAAAACAAAGTGAGGGTTGTAAAAGGGGAGGTGGGGGGGATAGGGTAACTGGGGGATGGGCATTAAGGAGGGCACGTGATGTGATGAGCACTGGGTGTTATATGCAACTGATGAATCATTGAACATTATATCAGAAACTAACGATGTACTATACGTTGGCTAATTGAATTTAAAGAAAAAAGAAAATTGAGGTTAAAAATGCTGAATACTTTTCTCAAGATCACGCAGTCCACAAGGTTCAGTGCCTGGGTCCCAGCTAGGATGGTCTTAAACACAAAACAGTACCTCCTCACACTTTAGTAAAGCTTCAACAAGTTTGTGCCAGGAACAAATGTGCAGGGGTGTTACTTTACACTGTGGAAATCTTCCACCTTAACATCCTTATTCCAGTAACTGACAAGCTTTCAAAATCAATGTTGTATGGACTCCTTTGCTGTAATTGCTAGAGATAGGACCTCTCTCAAGCCCTGTGTTGACTGGGGGCTGTGTTCATGGAGCTGTTGCAGGGCACGGGAAAACACGTGGGCTGTGGAGACAGAAGCTGTGGGTTTGAATCCTGACTCCACTACTCACAATGTGTCTTTGGCAAAATCCCTTCCTTGGGGCTTCGCTTTTCTCATACACAAGATGAAATAAAGCCTGCTCTCCAGAGAAACGTGAGGAACACGTGTATGGAAGCAGTTTGTAAGCCACAAGCACAATATACATTCTGGGGGTAACTGGGGAACGTCTGATAAAGAAGAAGCTGGCGGCCGGGAAGGGGAGGCAGAGCTGGACCAAACGCAGGGGTGGGGGCCGGGCTTCTGGCTTTGAGAGCAGAGGGGGCTTGGCTAGAAGCATGCAGGGGGCTGGTGTTGCCAGGATCAGAGTTATTTTCCCATTTCTTCTGTCTAGTGCCCATCAGCATGGACTTTGGTTCTCCAGGGATCTCCCTGTTTTTACCTCCTAAACATCTCTTGAATCTTGTAGACCTTTTCATCTCCCCACTGGCACTCTGGTGAAAGCCATCATTCCCGCCTAGATTATTGCATTATTGTCCCAGTGATGTATTTGGTACCTGTAGCCTCTCTGGACACCCCCTCTACCATCCATTCTCTGCACCGAAGCCACAGTGTTCTTTTAACAATAAAAACGTGATCACCTAATTTGTCAGATTAAAGTCTGGGTTGGTGTCCTAGGCTGCCGTAACAAAGTACCACACACCAGGAGGCTTACAACAATAGAAATATATTTTCTGTCAAGTCTAGAGGAATTGGCAGGGTTGGTTCCTTCTGGGGGCTGTGAGGGGTCTGTCCCATGCCTCTCTCCTTGGCTTGTAGATGCTGGTCTTCTCTCTTGGTCTCTTCACATTGTCTTCCCTGATGCATGTGTATTTCTGTGTCCAAATTTCCCCTTGTCATGAGGACATCAGTCATGTTGGATTAAGATCCATTCTAATGACTTCATTTTAACCTGATTACCTCTGGAAAGACCCTATCTCCAAATAAGGTCACATCCTGAGGGATTGGAGATTAGGACTCCAATGTAATCTTTTTTGAGGGACCCAACCCATAACAGGCACTTTTCTTGCTGCATAAGCCTCCCCGTTACCCACAGACTGAGGTCCAATTCCTTCCTGTGGCTTACTGAACTTCCGGTGAGTTGGCTCCTTCAGGCTCTGTGGCTCATCTCTTGCCTCCCTCCCTGCCCTCTCGAATTTTACGCTTCAGTTTTAAGGCAGTTTTTGCTTCTTCTTGCCTTATGGACTTACTCTTCCACCTGCCTGAATCACCCATTATCCCTGTCTGTTACCCCCTGGTGGTAGATGCTCACCCCCCAGCCTCCAGGCTCCAGCATCCAATAGTATGTTCTTTCAGACCCTGGAGTCCCTCCTGCCCACACACTATGGACTGGAACCTTAGTATTTACAACACTGTCTCCCCCTCTAGACTGCAAGCTGCCCAAGTATGAGGCCCACGTCTGATTCTTTGTTACATTCCCCCCCCCCCCCCCGCCACCGCCTGGCGTGGTGCCTGGAACATAATAGTCCCTTGATAAATATTTGTGGAATGAAAGAATGCCTGGAAGGTCATTTCGGATTCTGAACAGATGGAAGGAAGAAAGGCAGTGGCCCTCACGTGGCTGTCTAGAGAACAGCACTCCGTGTAATTCACGGCCGGTGGGGCCGAGACCGGACAGGAATGACAGGAACCTTCTCTCCTGGAAGGTGCCCCTTGGTGTCTTACTGCTTCAACTTTGAAACAGACTCTGCTCCAGAGAAACTCTTAGAGATCATGTAGTCTGACCCCCTCATTTTAAGGAAGAGGGAAATTGAGGCCTGCTGGGAGGAAGGACCTTTATCATCATGATATTTGAATTGCTAGAACCAAGAGTGGAATGCAGGCTTCCTGGCTTCTCCCTGAGGAGAGAAAATGCCTCGCCTGTGGCAGGGGTCACACTGCACGTGTGGGCTCTGGCCCACTTTCTAGGTACGGGAGCTTGTCCTTGTCAGGTAAGCGGTCTAGGGCAAGTTACTTAACCTCTCTGTGACACAGTTTCTCCATCTGTGAAGTGGGGCTAAAAGGAAAACCTATCTCACAGTATTGTTGGCTCAGTGAACACATAAAAGCACAGTGCCCAGCAGAGGGCAGCATCTCTGCCCCCAGAGTTACCAATTTAGACTCCAAGACGGGGGTAAATATTTTGATAAAGTAAATAACCAGGCCTGGTCAAATTCTGGAAGGCTGCCTGTTCTGCACTTAGGTTAACCAAACATGTGAAAGCCAGAGGCTTTAGTCATAGGGACCACCTGCTCCTTTGTGCACACACAGATAGCCCTCGACTTGGTTGGATTCATTTGGACAAAAACACATGGATAACCCTTTCCTGATTCACTGATATCTTATCAAAGCACTCACAGTGATTTTGACACAGACACTTTTGAACTCACCATTCTCAGACGGCAGGCAACGAGGAAGGCATACCTGGTAAGTGTAGACTGTGAACTTGGCTGTTTGCTACATCCAAATGTTTTCTCTCCACGGCAACCTCTTCAGATGCAGATGACGTTTCTGTGCCATGTCTGTAAATTTATTTAGAATCCGAACTTCAGTTCAAGCTCCCAGCCTCCTTACACTCTCCCTTCACCTCTACTATAGGAAACCAAGGAGAGCAAAGAGGGGCAACACACATGGTCAGCAGGTTTCCCCGACATGGTTTCAAATTTCTTTCTCATCCCC